ACCCCTCCCAGCGACCCCCAGCCCCACCCAGTGACCTTGATCCACCCCAGGGAGCCCCGAGTGACCCCCGAGCCCCCTCCCCAAGGCCCCCCCGGGTGGGCTGGGGGGTCTCACTCATGCTCTCGATGTCCAGCGAGTCGACCACGGAGCGTTTGTGCTCGTCACTGGCGATGGCCCTCTCGAAGGCCTTCTGCTTGACAATGCGGTGACACTCCTGGTACTTGAGCTTGGCGTCCTTGTCATTGGGCCTGACCTTCACCACCTGCGGGGACAGCGCGGGGACAGCGTGGGGACACGGCCCTGGGGTGTGGGGACAGCTGGGGACACGGCCCTGGGGTGTGGGGACAGCGTGGGGACACGGCCCTGGGTGTGGGGACACGGCCCTGGGGTGTGGGGACAGCTGGGGACACGGCCCTGGGTGTGGGGACACGGCCCTGGGTGTGGGGACACGGCCCTGGGTGTGGGGACAGCGTGGGGACACAGCCCTGGGGTGTGGGGACAGCTGGGGACACGGCCCTGGGGTGTGGGGACACGGCCCTGGGGTGTGGGGACAGCTGGGGACACGGCCCTGGGGTGTGGGGACACGGCCCTGGGTGTGGGGACACGGCCCTGGGGTGTGGGGACAGAGTGGGGACACGGCCCTGGGGTGTGGGGACAGCGTGGGGACAGCGTGGGGACACGGCCCTGGGTGTGGGGACACATCCCCAGCGGTCATGGGGACCCCATAGATGTCCCCAAGCCTTCTCTGACCCCAAGATGGACACACTGACCCCAGAGTGGACACACTGACCCCAGGATGGACACACTGACCCCAGGATGGACACACTGACCCCAGAGTGGACACACTGACCCCAGGATGGACACACTGACCCCAGGATGCACACACTGACCCCAGGGTGCACACACTGACCCCAGGATGGACACACTGACCCCAGGGTGCACACAGTGACCCCAGGGATGTCCCCAACCCTCTCCTGACCCCAGAGTGGACACACTGACCCCGGGATGCACACACTGACCACAGGGATGTCCCCAAGTCTTTCCTGACCCCAGGGTGACCACACTGACCCCGGGATGCACACAGTGACCCCAGGGATGTCCCCAACCCTCTCCTGACCTCAGAGTGGACACACTGACCCCCAAGTGACCACACTGACCCCAGGGAGCATACAATGACCCCAGGGATGTCCCCAACTCTCTCCTGACCTCAGAGTGCACACACTGACCCCAGGGTGACCACACTGACCCCAGAGTGGACACACTGACCCCAGGATGGACACACTGACCCCAGGATGGACACACTGACCCCAGGATGGACACAGTGATCCCAGGGATGCACACACTGACCCCAGGGGTGTCCTCAACCCTCTCCTGACCTCAGAGCGGACACACTGACCCCAGGCTGGACACACTGACCCCAGGGATGTCCCCAACCCTCTCCTGACCTCAGAGCGGACACACTCATCCCCCCCAAACCCCCTCCCCAAACCCCCTCTCACCATCTCGTAGTCACGCAGGGCCGCCTTGAACTTGCCCAGGGCCATGTTGCTGGCCGCCCGGCGGTAATAGCCCTTGACGTACTTGGCGTCGAGCTGCACGGCGCGGGTGGCGTCGGCCAGGGCGTAGCCGTAGCACTCGGTGCGCAGGTAGGCCAGGCTGCGGTTGCCATAGTAGATGGCGTTGCCGGGGTTCAGCTCGATGGCGCTGCTGTAGAACTTGACGGCGTTCTCGTAGTCCTTGCCTGGGCGTGGGGAGGGTGAGGGGAGGGGTTAGGGGGTGAGGGGAGGGGTGGGAAGGGTGGGCGGTGGTTGGATGTCAAAGGGCAGGAGGGACCAGACCCCAAAGGGTGGGAGTGGCCAGACCCCAAAGGAAAGGAGTAGCCAAATCCCAAAGGCCAGGAGGGACCAGACCCCAAAGGGTGGGAATGACCAGACCCCAAAGCGTGGGAGTGGCCAGACCCCAAAGGAAAGGAGTAGCCAAATCCCAAAGGGTGGGAATGACCAGATCCCAAAGGCCAGGAGGGACCAGACCCCAAAGGGTGGGAGTGACCAGACCCCAAAGGAAAGGAGTAGCCAGATCCCAAAGGGTGGGAATGACCAGACCCCAAAGGCCAGAAGGGACCAGATCCCAAAGGGTGGGAGTGACCAGACCCCAAAGGGTGGGAATGACCAGATCCCAAAGGCCAGGAGGGACCAGACCCCAAAGGGTGGGAGTGACCAGACCCCAAAGGCCAGGAATGACCAGACCCCAAAGCCCAGGACTGGCCAGATCCCAAAGGCCAGGAGTGACCAGATCCTAAAGGCAGAGGGTGGCCAGACCCCAAGGGCCAGGAGGGACCAGACCCCAAGGGCCAGGGGATCACAGGTGGATCAGGATGTGGCAGCAGGGTCTGACTCTGCTTAGGACTAATGGCTCCATATTTAGCAGGCAGCTCTGTGGGGTCACTATCTGACAGCCCCCATTGGCCCCTATAGATCCCCATCTGACAGTCCCCATTGCCCCCTATACATCCCCATCTGGCAGCCCCCACTGTCCCCCACAGATCCCTATATAACAGCCCCTATAGATCCCCATCTGGCAGCCCCCATTGGCCCCTATGGACCTCAATCTGGCAGCACCCGTTGCTCCCTATAGATCCCAATTTGGCAGACCCCATTACCCCCAATGGATCCCTATGTGGCAGCTCCGTTATCCCCCGTTACCCTCCGGTGCTCACTATTTGGCAGCCCCCATTGACCCCCATAGATCCCCATCTGGCAGCCCCTATAGATCCCCATCTGGCAGCCCCCAGTGTCCCCTATAGATCCCAATTTGGCAGCCTCCATTACCCCCAATGGATCCCTATGTGGCAGCTCCGTTATCCCTCGTTAACCTCCGGTACTCACGATTTGGCAGCTCCCATTAACCCTAATGGATCACAATCTGGCAGCTCCGTTATCCCCCGTTAACCTCCGGTACTCACTATTTGGCAGCTCCCATTAACCCCAATGGATCCCTATCTGGCAGCTCCGTTACCCCGCACTGCCCTCAGCGGCTCCCTATCTGGCAGCCCCCATCACCCTCCATAGCTCCCTATCTGGCAGCCCCCGTTCCCCGCCGTTGCCCGCCGTGGCTCCCTCTCCGGTAGCCCCCGTTGCCCGCCGTTACCTTTGAAGAACTCGTTCGCGCGGGCCTTGAGCGCCTCGGCCCGTTCGAGGTCGGCGGGGCTCGGGGGCCGCCCGGGGCCGGCACCGCCGCCGTTCCCCGCCCGCTCTCCCTCCGCCATGGCCGGGCCGCAAAGCGCCGCCGCCGCCGCCGGGCGCGGCCGCCAAGCGCAGCTGTCGTAAAACCGCGGTGGGAGGGGGGGAGCGGTGTCGTAAACGGGGGGGAAGAGGAGCGACGGGGGTCGTCGTGTCCCCAAGTGTCCCCAAGTGTCTCCAGGTGTCCCCAAGAGTCCCCAGGTGTCCCCAGGTGTCCCCAGGTGTCCCCAGGTGTCTCCAGGTGTCCCCAGGTGTCTCCAGGGC